CTTAATGCACTAAATGCAAGGTTTTTTAGAAAAAAAATCAAGACGTTTCTGCTTCATTGATAATCTGACAGTAACTATTTATTGAAGGTAAAATACTTGTTGTCTGCTGTCACTATTTGTTTTAATACATAATCTTGCTAACTAAATGAGCTTAAAGCAATGCAGATAAGCAATGGCATGTAGAGGGTCACTTAAATGCCAATTTGACTCTTTCATAAACTCTGAAATTCTTTTCCCATGAGTCTGTTCTCAGCTACTAAATTGTGAGTAATATCCATTTACAAAGTTTAGGTTGGCCATAAAAGGTTGTCTTCTGTGTCCAGCGCACCTTTCAGTGCCCTAAGCAACAACAAAAGCTAATAATTAATGCTTCTTTAAGTCCCCATAAAGAGTTAAATGAAGAAGAATCTAGAATAAACCAACCCATAAAAACCTAGTGTTGAAATAAGCAGAAAATGTTTCAACAAAGTGGAGTGGCAAAGAAAAACCATAAATTTAAATTATAGTTTTACATTATTACTCAAAATTGTGACTGCACCCTTGAATAAGAAGAAATTCCATTAAAAATATGGAGAGAGGGGTAGGAATTGAAATATAACATGGTAGTAGAGAAAAATAAGGTCATCTAAATTAATAAATGAATTGATATCTGGACATTTCATGTTAGATTAACATTTGTTTTATCATAACATTAAACAATATAATAGTGAATGCAAATTAGTCATAATAAGTAAAATTATAAAATCTAACATTTTTCATTTAATTTTCTTTTCTCTCACAAAGAACTTATTTACTCAAGCTAGAACTTATTTATTATCAAACTAAGGACATGGATCAAAAACTAAAATAGAAAGAAGTGTATATGTACTAACTGTGCTACCTGCCACCAACCCAACTTATGGAAAGATTTAATTAACTTGAACCTCATATATAAATGTCTAAAGCATTGAATTTTCCTTCTCAGAATGCATTGTCAGGTATAAATGCTAATAAGTAACTTCTCCTGAGACAGTAAAATCTTTGAAGTTAAGGAGTTTACTTTTTTGCAGGTTTTGAAGACTTTCTTAGACCTTCTTGTGGAAATTTTAATTTATTTGTTAGATTTTTCTTAATTTCTCTTCCTCTGACTTGGAAATTTTCAGCTGATTCCACCTTTAAAAAAAATATAATGGTTTAAGGAAAATTAAAAGGAGATCTTAACTCATATTTAATGGTCAATCTTAAATTTAAACTCCAGATAGATAGATATAGAGAGAGATAATAGAGATAGTTACCTCATAGCAACATAGATTGTAAAGGCAAGTTGTTTTTGTTTCCTCTAAATACATTGCTAGATTTACTTTTAAGCACTTTGACAGAAATAAAAATTAAAAAAAAAAAAACTAGTACCAGATTTATTTATGTTATTACTTTAAAATTATTACAACAGAAATATAACATTTTTCCATAGGTAACTCTCTTTTGAATTAATTTTTAATAGAAATGGCTAAACTTTAGTCTTAAAGTTTAGCATTACTGGGGCTGCAAGCACAAGCCAAAATAAGTTTTAATGCTTTTTATCTCTTCTTACAGTTTGTCTATTTTCTATTTCTACTGCTTGGGAAAAAAAGAGTCCATTTTTTTTTCTCTTGATTAATTGCCTTTTAATCCTCATAGGTATTGAGAGTATTGTTTTCCTAGCTTTCCTAGAAAGCCAATAGAATCCACAGTAATAGCCCATCTAAGGATATTTATTTATCTGTGGATTGTTCTGTATTTTGGAGACTAGATTCCAGGAAGAGACCAGAGGGTTTTCCCTGGGGAAAGCAGAAAGCTATGATTGAATAAGTCAGACAAGGCCTAGTTAAGAAGGGGGCTTAAAGATTAGGGAGAGGGTTTAAAACAGTAATAAGGAGAGAATTATTGCAATTTCTTGGGTAAGAAGTTAAGGACAAATGAGGAAAATTCCGACAACAGAGCAATCCATCTTACAACCAGCTAACATCTGAGTCTCGCCACTAGCTGGTGATCTGTCCTGGCTTAAACATGATCAGGAACAGAGGACTTGGCTACAACCAAATACACCCATTTTCTTTTTGAAACTCTTCCATTTATTAGAATTTTTGTTTGTTTGTTTATTACTGAGCTTAGCAACTTTCATCCACTAGGAATAAAAGGTTTGAATTGAGGCACAATCATACAGGCACAATCTGTCTTCCACTTGACAATCAAAAAAATTGTTTTAAGATTTATTTATTTGTGCATACAGAACTAGGGTACAGGCCAGAGGTGTGGGGGGCAGTGAAAGAATTCACAGAACTGGGGTGCAGGCCAGAGGTGTGGGGAGGGGCGGTGAAAGAATTCACCAGAGACAGAGTGGGAAGCAGAACAGGCAGATCCACGAAGTACACTGCTGAGGGGAGCAGCGGGCGGGTTAGGAGAGGTCTGCCACGCCATGTGGGTCAACTCCCTGAGCAGGGATCCATCTTGTGCTATAGTGGCTGCGATAGCTTCCTAGTGCTGTGCTGTAACCTGTTGTGCCACCAAGGAGGACCCAACAATCAACAATTTTAACACAGTTCACTCCCCTGTGCAGCCTCTCTAACAGGTACACTTCACCTCCACCTTCCGTGACATTTATATTTTAAAGTATGGCGCTTTGAAGAATGCTTGCAGAATATTACTTCATACAATCTCCAATTTGTCACTGTCTCCCCTGGGGCTAGCCATCCAGTTCTGAACACACCATTTAAGGTGTGATGGTGATTAGATAAACCAGGAAAAGCTGATACTCTTTGATGGTATTTGTCAATCAACACAAATTATGATTGCATTTGTCTTCCTATCACAACACTAAATTATAATTAAAAAATTTAATTTTTTTTCACATTTGCCTTAAGTCATGCCTTCCCTATGTGTGCACTTACTTTACTGACTCACTAGTAAGCCATCCACTCATTTATCTCCATTAGATTTCAAAGGAGGTCTGACCAACCCAATCTCATCAGTCGCATTTCGGATGTTATCTGCAAATCCAATCAGTAAATCTTCCATATTCCCAACCAAATTATTGGGAAATATAGTAAACGGAAAATTCAGCCCACTATGGATTTCATAACTAATTGTGTGTGCTTTGCATAACTGATTACAAATCCATCCAGCAGTTCACCTAACTGCAATCTCACCTGAAAAAACAAAACCACATTTGTGCTCACTGTCCCTGGAAGGCTTTCCTAAATCGTTACTGAAATCCAAAGGATAATAACAATAACTTTTTTCTTTTTTTTGTGTGTAAGATTTATATATTCATACAGAACTGGGGTGCAGGCCAGAGGTGCAGGGCAGTGAAAGGCTTCACCAGATACAGAGTGGGGAGCAGAACAGGTAGACTGACAAAGTGCACTGCTGAGGGGAGCAGCAGGCAGATCAGAAGAGGTCTGAGGCACCATGTGGATCACCTGTTTTGTGGGGGTGGGGGTTGGGGGAAAGGTTTGAACTCGCACTGAAGCGGCTGAAGCTCACTTGCTGTGCTGCACTTTAACCTGCTGCACCACCAGGGAGGGCCCGGAGTTTTCTTTTATGCCAGGTTTTTCACCATGAGGCTAGGCTTTTCACCATGAGGCTCCAATGTTGAGCTCTAGGTCTAACTCTTTTCTAATATTAAGCTTAGGGATTCTAGAACAAGGGTTACCTCCTAGAGCTTGTTTTTAGGGAACCCATGCTAGCTCCAAATGATTGCTACCTCCTCTTGTGAGGGTTCAAATGCAACTCATTTAAACATCCTAGAGCCAAACTTTTCCCAAGATAAACAGGTTGGCAAATATCCAAATATCACAGAAACATAAAGCCTTACTCTAAAAAAAATAAATAAATAAAACCCAGATTCCCCATTGTTAGTGTCCAGGCAACGAGCATCTCCAGTCCCCCTCCCCCAAAAAGCAGAGCCTCAAAGCTGCTATGACAGAGACACAAAAGGCTTAAAACTACCTGCCCGTGCCCAGAGCCTCCCATACTAAGTTACCTCTTAAAATCTTTTCCCAACCTTTGGCTTCAAGTTTCTTTTATCAATTCTTCTTTCTCTTCTTTTTAAACTAAAGAGATCATTCTCCTCATCAGATGTAAGAGAAGCAGAGTATAAGTTTATCAGCTTCCTTTTCTCTTTGTCGTATTTCTGTTTATTTAAAACCTCAACGTTTTTCCAAAAATAAATTAAGGCAGTTCTGTCATCTGTTGTCATCACACTATTCATTCATGATGACAGGATTATCCTTCCCTGTTTCTCTCTTCACTCCAAAACTAACATGAAAAAAAAGATACTTTTTTTTTTATTCCTCGCATTATTCACAGGCCTCAACCCACTCTGCACCCTCACCTTCTTGGCATAATGTGGTAGACACATGCCACTTTTACGATTCTCTGTGGCTATGTAATTCTTTCATCTCTTGTATATTTTCTAACTCTGAGTGTAATAGATCACTCATAATTGTTTTGAGAGAATTTGGGGGAATTTGAGCCTGACACATATCTTAAGCGTCGTTCCATTTAGACTCTCAGAACATGTGATATCTACACATTTTTACAGATTTTTGGCCTAGTTCCCTTCTAAAATGCTCAACAATCCTCTCACAGTTTCTTCTGTCAGTCATTTCTTCAGAGTTATCATTATCTCTTTTCTCTTTTGGTTGGTCATGACTAAGACCAGAATCTTAAAAACCTTATAGTATTACTGAGCTTCTAAGTGTAGAGATGGCCAATAAGGTTAGGACCTATCTATTGTTTTGCTGCATGAAATTTCCCAGCATATATATGAGCAATGGAAGCCCTGCATTACTCCTTCACCAAACCTCCCTCCTATTTCTATTTCTATTTCTCAAAAGAGATCTTCTTTGACTGCAGACAACCTCTCTGGGAAGGTGTAGCATGATGGCCAAGGAGCTGACCAGGACATCATCCCTGCTTCTACTGGTACCACCAAGGCTGTGGACAAGGTCCTCCATGAGCTAAACAGGAAGCTGATTGGCATGACCTTCCATGTCCCTACCCACAACCTGTCAGTTGTGGATCTGATCTATCAATGGGAGAAAACTGCCAAATACAATGACATCAAGAAAGTGGTGATGCAGGCACCACAGGATCCCCTCAAAGTCATCCTGCGCTACATTGAAGACCAGGTTGTCTCCTGCTATTTTCTAGTTATTTTTATTAGGCTGTAGTGTTGTGGGTGGTGCCATGTTGTGGGTGGTGTCATCTTCCACAGTTTTAATAGTGATATCTACTCTTCCACCTTCCTTGTTAGGGCTAACATTGCCTTCAATGGCCATTTTGTCAAGCTCATTTCCTGGTATGACAATAAATTTGGCTACAGCAACCTGGTGGTGGATTTTATGGTCCACATGACCTCCAAGGAGTAAGAGTTCCCTGGACAGCCAAACTTAGTGAGAGAACAAGAGGAAGAGAGACTCTCTCCACTCCCAGAGGGGTCCTTCCCCCACTCATCCACACTGAGACTCTGTTTACCTGTCCCAGTTTCCTCCCAGATTCCTTGGCAAAGCAGAAGGCTTAGGCAGATTTTCTCTGGTCAACTATTGTGTATCTTTTTTATTACCTATTACACCCAGACTACTGGTATTCTAGGGTTCCTAGGATGAACTTATGAAATTAGAGCTTGAGAAATGATAAAAACCAGAAGGCCAAATACAGACATAAGGTGACCAGGAGCCAGACTAGAATGTGGGCAACTGGAAAGTAGAAGAAAAAAAAAATGAACAGTAATGTGTAGAAGAAATATAGGCATTGGTGAACTGAACACAGATGTGAGACAAGGAAAATAGAAGGTCAAAACTAAATGTAAGGTTTTGGAGTTGGGAGTTGGGCAAAAGTTGAAGAATGGGTAATGTTCAGTTAACTAGGATGAGGCATAATGGAAGCACAATGGAAGAGGGAAACCCAAAAGGAAGGGATTGACAAGCAAGGTTGTTTCTCTATCTTCAATAGTCCATCTTCAATAGATTACTAGCAATAATCAATATAATATGCTACGGTTCAGTGAAAATGATTTTTGTACTCCTAAAGATAATGTATCTATGTTTAGATTAATTTGTTTAAATAAAAAGTAATTCAAATTAAAGTACTAAGAAAATAACAGTGAGGGGCCTCCCTGGTGGCACGGGGGTTATATCTCAGCACTATCAAGCTATCAGTAGCCACTGCAAAATAAGTTCAATCCTGAGTTCAATCCCTAGCCAGGGAGCTGACCCACATGGTATAGCAGGCCTCTCCTCCACTGCTCCCATCAGCAGTGTATTTCCGTCAATCTGCCTGTTCTCCTTACTCTGTCTCTGGTGAATCCTCTCACTCCCTGCACTTCTGGCCTATACCCCAGTAATTGTATGCAGAAATAAATAAAAAATAAATCTTTAAAGAAAATAATAGTGAGATGATATGCAAATATGATGAAAAATTACAAATAATTATACATAAAGAAAATCTAGGAAATACTCTTGTAATGGGAAAAGACTAACAACTTAGGATAAGCATAAAAAGGGGACAAGCTACAAAGCTATATTGTCCACTCAGTCTGGTCCCCAGGCAGCATCTCCTGACTTCCTCAAGATGGCAATGGGAGATTCTTGGCCAAATTCTCAAAGTCTTCAGTTCATTCCCTCTAAAAATCTGTCTTTTCTCCCCAGATTGCAATTATGTTTGTTAGCAGTTGCACACAGGCCCTCTTTTCAGGGCAACTCACTCACCCACCCTCTGCCCATTGGCTTGGCCTCTCCTGGGCCATTTCTTCACATCTAAACACTCTCAACATTCATAACTCAATTTCCAACATGAATAGTGTTTTACCTTTAAAGATTTCTGTTTAGCTGCTTTTGAATCTTCTTCAGGTACTTTGTTTTCCAAAGGTACGTTTGATTGCTCAGCTGGCTTCACTTCCGAAGTTTCCGGAGGTTTACCCACTGTGCTTTCTGCATCTGAGATTCCCCATTCTGATATATCCTCTTGTTCAATCTGTGAAAGACTTGACACAACTTCAGGAAGTTCCTCCAGCTCTTCCTTTGGGAAAACACAAACGCCTAAGCATACTCTTTCTATTGGTCCTGCTAAAGTTTTCAGTCATGGAAAACAAAGCAACAAAATCATTACAAACATGCACAATTGAAATTAAGCTGGGGTAGTACATGTCCTCTGAAATAGAAAGAGAAACTCAAAATGACTTGAGAAATATTGAAAACCTGGCAAGTTATTTTCCACAGCTCTTGTCTCAGAACATGATAGCTACCACCAAAAACAGTGATATGCACCAATTCTAAGGAAACAAACTCAACTCTTACTCTGATTCCATCCCATACTCACACAGAGCAAGGCTACTTGAGACATTGGCTCTCTGCCTACCCTGTGTTTCATTTGTTCCAACGTGGCTTCCTGCAGTCAGGCACTCTTCCAGAAGCCTGGCATCTGGTCTGCAAAGAGTCAACCCAGAGGTCTCCAAAAGAGACCCAGATGCTCCATTCGAAGCCCAGATGAAAAATTCTCACAAAATGTCACTGCTAGACCTGTTTAGGATTACTTAAAAATGTCTCACTGAATGTCTCTCATCAAGGCTTAAGTATCTCTATAGCCATATTTAGGTATTACCAATTTTATGCCATGATTATGTGGGATGATGGAGCATCAGCAGGTAAAAGTTCACTGCCTTAAATTAACAGTTATAAAACTAGTGTGATTTATATAAAAGTTGAATTCTATAGAATGACTGGAAATGCAATTTCTCACTTTTGTTCCGCACTACATTCATTTTTGATGAGCCAAATAAAAAGTAAAAATAGTATACAGAGCCAGATACTTTACAAGTTCTTTATAGTAAAAGAAGAGGTGCTTGAGCAAAACAGAAAAATAAATAAATAAAACTAAGTTTGTAAAGTGTAACTTTTATCTGGAGCTTGTGTCTTTATGAAGATCTGGTTTGTGGGTAAGAGCCTAATAGCCAGATGGGACTTAATCCAAATCCTGGATCTGTCGATTAACAGGTTCATGATCATGGTCAGGCAACTTAACTCTTTTAACCTCCTTTTCGTTGGCAAATAGAAACCAGGTACTAAAATACTTCTCATAAAACCACAGAGTAGATTGAGCATAGGGTACTCTACCCATACTTTCTACCTATGGCAGATTTGTTCATCTTATGCTCCACAGCTTCAGCACTGATAATCATTCCCTTTCATTTGAATTTCTCTGCTCTTAACAATCTCTAGTTAGGGCTTCAAAGCTGACTTATCCAAATACTTTTACTGAGTGCTATCAGGGCCACACATGTTGGGTCCTATAACAAGGAATGAAGGTACAAAAGGGAAAAAGACAAAGTCTCAAGCCCAGAAGCATTTCAAACTCTAGGAGCTCAATCATATATGGTAATATTATAGCCAAATGACTTTTTTGAAACTTCATAAGTTTTCTAAACTTGACATATTAGCCTTAAAATGTATACTCCAAATTTTTCTTCCTTGTCAATGCTTTGCACATTTCTAGCTAGCTAAACAAAAATTTCCATAGATGCTATTAACTTTTACTTCTCCAACTACCTTCTAGATCTGTATGTCTATAGAGCAGAATAATTGTTATAGCTTTTCCCTTTTGAAAGAGATTGGGGAACTTAGGTCACAAGATCTACCCTAGGAAACAATGATGAGCAAAGGTGGCCACAGTTCTCATTGGGGTTTTGGATTAAAGTGTTAATAGTTAAACACAACTCAACAGTAAATCAAAGGAGGTATTTTTAAACTCTGTAAACAAATACTCATGCAACAAGAGGTAGACTATAAAATAATATAAGCAAGGAAGTTTGTTATGAAAGGCTTTACCATTTGCGCTTCCTCAACACATGTCTGTATTCCCTGCTCTGTTAGTTCTTGAGGTGTTTTCTGAGAGCAAATTTTTCCCATTAAAGTAATATCCTTGAAGGAAGAAAAGGAAACAATTAGAAGAGTGCCAATTCAAAAATCACTGAAGCATATAATTCCGTGCAGCAAAATGCTAGTCAGTATAATGCATTAAATAAGGAATACATAAGAAAGAAAATGAACCAGTCAATATGATACGTAAATGAGAAATATAGAACAAAAGAGATAATAAAAAATACTTTGTCTATTTTTCTAATTTCATGGCTTTTCTAATAATTAACTTCAATAGATGTGTGATCAGATTTAATAAGACAGATTATTTAAAAATCAGACACTGTAAAACACTACTATTAAATGACTACACAAGAAAGATAAAAATCAAAGCTCAAATTTAATGTAACCAAAGCAAGAAGGAATCTGAATATACTTAACATTCTGGGGGTATAATTTTTAGTGTTATTTTTATCATTACAAATATTAAATATTATGATATGCTGTCTATGCAGTTGACGTGTAAACCGATGCAGACCAGAAAAAAAAGTCTCAATTTTACAAAATGGAAATAATAATAGTACATAACTTATGTTTATTGTGAGGCATAAATGAGAATACATTAGGAAAAAATGTTTCATTAATAATAAATATTATCACTCACATTAAGATAAAAAGCTAAATGGGTGCCTATTGTCTCCATCATCATTTTACATTATCCTGGAAACTCTAGCTATGTAACAAAAAGAAAACAAACAATAAATGATTTAACCATATTACCATTATTTCAAGAGGATGTGATGATAGGCCTAGAACCCCCACCCCAAACTTCATTGTAAAACTATTAGAAATAGGCTGGTTAGATGGAAAGTCAATTCACAAAATGTAAAGTCAAAAAATGAGAAAAGAAAAAAATACAAAAAGGAACCAAAGTATATAAACTGCAAAACATTGCCTTAAAAAATGTTAACAAAGCTATTGAGAAATCAAAATTGCCTTAAATCAGATTTCTTGGACTAGGGATCAAGAGAGTGAGAGGTAGGGAGAGAATTCTTAGAAGAAATTCAATTTAAGCATTTTGCCTAACAGGTATTGATTCTATTTTATCTCCCTGAGTCAAAAATGATAACATTTCTACATTGTTCACAGTACATTTCTACATTGTTCACAGGTTCTAGCACAATGTTAAACAAGTATTTTAAACATTTGAAAATTTATAAAGCCGTGGGCAGCCCAATTTCACAATCCTGGATACATTACTCATGTGTCTCACAGCAGTTCCAACCTGTGGCATCTAAATTAGAATCTAAAAATGTCAGAGCAGAAAGGATCTTGATGGAACATCAACTCCTCCCACCCACACACTTTCTCTCCTGCAGAAATCCAGGCTATGTCCCAAGTGACAGTGGCAGATGAAGGCCCAAGAGTGTTCCTAACATACACCCTTTCATGGCTTCCTCGGCACTTATTCAAGGTGCACTGCTTTAAATAACTTACTATGAAGTTCAAGTTTCAGAAAGGAGAAAAGAAATGCCATTTTTATGGCCCTAAACAGATACTTGTCCACACAGGTTACCTTCTTGAAAAACTGCCCTGATTTGCATTGACTTTCTTTTATCCCCCCACCCCCCTACCCCCAGGCAAAACCCTGCTGGCATTGGCTTGTAGAATCCTGCTTACAGGCACAAGAATGTGTCAGGGCTGCTTTGCATTCATTTTTAACCACATTTGACTTTTTCAAAAATTAAACATTTTCTATGATTGTTCTGGATGGTTGGATTGGAGTATGTATTCAGTAAACTGTCACTTTCAAAAACCCCGATTAAAAAAAAAAAAAAAAGAACAGAACTCAGTTGGCTCCATGTAAATTTAAGCATCAACATTGCTACAGACACTATCTATTACTAAATATGGATGGTATCTTTTCCACAGAGTCCTAACAAAATATGCTCCATTATTTAAACAGACTCAAAAACAATATATTTCCAGAATCACTGTTTCCAGTAATTTATACTTTTTATATCACTTTTCTGATAGGTGTCCTATAGCATAAAACTATATGGGGCTTTTAGAAATAAAAGTCTGAAATATTCACGAAGTGTCTAATTCTGACTGAAGAAAAATATTTTCAGAATGTCACCAAGCCTGTGTTGGAGCAATACACTGTGTTTTACTCCTTAGACATTTGTAGCAGGAAGGCAACATAAAATCCAGGTTTTTCCTTTCAGAAGTTTGCACACATTTTCCAAGTCATCATGTTTGCTTCTAAGTTACAAAATCTGCTATTTCAGACGAGACATTCCATTGAATGTAGCACTAAGTCGTCAGTAAGTTATGATGTGACCAGCTACAGTGCTTTCTGGCTAGGAATTCAGGAGAAATATAGAAAATATAAAGCAAGATGCTTTTTTTTTTTTTAAGAAATTTACTATTCAGTTAGACAAAAATAACAAACTAGAAGTGTTTTTTTCTTTAATGCAAAGTGATATATTCAAACACAGATCCCAAATTCAATATGGATTCCTTCTTTATAGAGATGAGGAAAAAATATAAACATCAGAAAATGCACTAGTTCCAATTATGTCTTTGAGAAATAAATTTGAGGAGGAGTTTAGGTTCTTGAGATAGAGAACGGGAGACGAGAGAAGAGAAATTGAAAGGTTTTTTTCCACATTGTAATATAAAGCCACCTGAAATAATTATGTGCCTGTGTCAATTCTGAAAGTTCTTATACTGCTTTTGTTTATTTAGTCAATGGCATGCTATAAAACTGAGACTTTCAAAACACAAACTAAAGAAGGATAAAAACATATTTGTTTCAGTTTCTCTAATGACATTAAATTTGAAAAATTCTATTGGTTGTCCCTAAACCAGACACGTTCAGCTCGTCTTCTTAATTATTTCCTATGATAAATTCATTCCAAAAAATATATAAATAACTAAAAAAAAAAAAAGCTCAAGTTAATATGCAGCAAACCTATCCAAACACTCAGCAAAAATGTTTGTGGTGCCATTTGCAGAACTCTGGTGATTCCCTCCTCAGGGAATAGGGCTACCTGGGCAAAGAGTAAGATACAGCTGAAACGAGATACTGCACCTTCCATTTCGCTCTCTCCAACTCACTCACTCTTACTCTGGTGCTAGACAGCCGCCACATCTAATGGACACAAGCCGTCCTACAGAGAGGACCCCCTGGGAAGGAAGTGAAGCTTCCAGTGAGTAGCCTGTGCCAAATTGCCTGACTTGGACTGCAGTGTCCAGCAAGGACGCCCTCCAGTTCCAAACAAGTTTCCAGAAAATGGCAGCCACAACCCCAGGAGAGACCTCACGCCAGAATCACACAGCTGAGATGTTCTTGGTTTCGGGACCCACAGAAGCTGTGAAATAACTTTTTTATTGTTTAAACTGCTAAGTTTGGGAGTGACTCGTTAGCAAAAAATAATTTTAAAAAAGCTCTAAGGTTGGGCCCTCCCTGGTGGCACAACGGGTACAAGCGCAGCACCACAAGTGCGCTGTGGCCTCCTCAGTGCTAGTTCGATCCCCAGCCCGGAAGTGACCAACATGGCGCCGGAGACCTCTCCTGACCTGTGCACGGCTCCCCTCAGCAGTGTACTTCGTTGATGTACCTGTTCTGCTCCCCGCTCTGCCTATGGTTCATCCTCTCACCGCCCCTGCACCTCTGGCCAGCACCCCAGTTTTGTGCATAAATAAATAAATGTTTTCTAAAAGATTTAAAAGTAGGGTTAAAACTTTAGCGCTTCTGCTACTTACTTTATAGCATTTCAATAGAACCTAAGATCTCAAATGATGTAAAATTAATTTACATAAGTATGTATTTTCTTGCTTATTATCTATTATTGTGTAGGTTTTCTTCACCATATTAAAAGAAGTAGTTTAAGATATTCCACTGAGAAATTAAGTATTGTCTGCCAGATCTTTAAGCAAAACAAAACAAAACAAAAAATGCTTGTGCATATGAATGGTCTCAATTCTTTACCTCTCACTCAATCCACATGTTTTGCTATATAACCTTTGAATAATCTCTTCACAAGGCAAAGTATATTTTACACCTCTTCACTCTGGGGTAATCTATGTATTTGCTTTGGCCATGAACATCTTGTCAGAAGTAACTGGCAAAATGTGTTAAAAAGTTTTTATTTGATAATAGGAACAAGAGAAATAATTTAGATTAACATTTGATTAATGTGTTAATCCTGATAATCATATAATTTATATAATTTAGATTAACATTTGATCAATGTGTAAATCCTGATAATCATATAATTTATATTTCAGAGAAAAATAAATTTCGACTGTGTCATCCAGAGAATACAGCTTTGTGAGACTAAAATCTAAATTTTAGAGTAGAGTCACAGATGTATTCTCAAAAATTTCGTTAGTTTCCAAATCCTTTCATTTTCCAGCCCTTCTACATATCTAGGGGATTTCTAAAAACAGAAAACCAACACTAGACAAATCCAAGATGACCCCACCTGAAGTCTCACTATCTCATACCCACTTCCAAGTAACAATGGCCAGTGTCCTCTTTTTGTTCAAAAGAAACAAGCAATATGATCACATAAAATTGCTAGTACTCTTTCACAAAATAATGTAAATCAAAAGTCAGCACAGCACAAGAAACAGAAGAGCATATAAACGAATAGGACTACCTCAAATGAAAAGTCTTCCGCACTGCAAAGAAACCATCATTAAAATGAAAAGGCAGTCTACTGAACAGAAGATATTTACAAGGCTTGCATCAGACAAATGGTTAAATATCCAAGATATAGAAACATTTCATACAACTCACCAACATACAACACAGTTAAAAAATGAGGGCCCTCCCTGGTGGCGCAACCGGTCAGGACGCAGCATGACAGGCAGACCTCTCCTGACCAGCCCGCGACTCCCCTCAGCAATGTACTTCGTCGATCTGCCTGTTCTGCTCCCCACTCGGTCTCTGGTGAGCCTCTCACCGCCCCTGCACCTATGGTTTGTACCCCAGTTCTGTATGCGTAAATAAATAAATCTTTATAAAAAAAAAATGAACACTGAAAGAAAAA